ACCCATATTTCAATATTATTCTCAATATCATTTGGATGAAAAAGGATGATAGCAATACAGTTACAGTATAAGTTAAGTTCCCCACATTTCGATTTGGGAATCTGTGACGGAGTTGGTAATTCGTGAAAATTTTCATTAGTCAGGTCAAATGAAAGGATGCAATAATGATTGTAGTAATCTTCTACAAGCCAATAATAAACTCCATTCAGGTAGGTGCTATTACCTAAAGAATTTTTTACGGAACGCGATTGATCCATTGGAATTTCAAAGAGTCGCCATGAATTCGTAAATAAGTTATAAACTGAAACAGTTTGGACATCATATGGGCCGTCTAAGTTATCATCCCAATATTGTCGTATCCAAATAATCTTGTAATTGTTAGTCATCGGATCCAACCCAAATCCAAAATTATTGGTAGGGTCAGAAATATAGGATGGAAGGTTTGGACGAGGTAAAGAGATGGTCCTGAATTCTCTTATAGCAGGATTCCACAAACACATGCTATGCTCATTTCTATCATACAAACAATATATACCATTAATGGGACCGATAACAGAATCCGGATCAATTTCTATCCTGTGTTCATCAAGATTGTAATATACAGGGGGCGTACTACCAAGATTTTCATCAGGGAATATGCCAAATGCATGTCTGGAAATTTTGGAATCGTAATGATGAACAAGTAGACGGGTGTTGTTTTTGTGGTGCTGTTTGGTGATAAAGCTAGACGTTTTTATGAGAGTATACCAATAATTGCAAACACACCTGAATCTTAAAAGTGATTTCACAGGCAACCTCGAAAGGATCTCTGTCATCACATCATTCCACATACCATTATCACCATTGTTGCCGGTCATTGCCTCTCTCTTCATTCTAGTCCAGATCCATCTTTCTTTTCTGACACATTAAGAAAAATAATTTGTAAACGAAAACCTAGAATCAAATTTTCTATTATCTATTTCTTTTTATTAAAAAGAAAAAGCAAACACAAGAAAAAGAGTTGCCTTACAGAGGAAGACATTTTGTTTCATTCACGAACATGCGCAAAACCAGTTATAGGTTATAGGCAATTATATTTTCGGCATGAAACAATACTCCATTAGATTAATATTATCTAAATTTAGTAACAGCATGTTTTTACTTAGTCATAGCTGACTGAGATCATGTTAAAAAATATAGCTGACTCAGAAGTTTCATATCCAACGTCACTATTAAAGCTTTTTGATAAATTGCTTTCTTGTTTTTTCAAAATCCTTTGCATGAGACAGAGAAGAATTCTTAGCATTATCGTCATTCAAAATAGTAGCAAAATCAAGTAAATCATCATTACCACTAGGGGTTCGTTTGGTTAACCGAAAATTGATAATGGAAAGTGGAAGGAAAAGAAAGTGAAGTAAAAGAAAAGAAAATTATGTTTCTATTATGCATTTGGTTAGCATGATTTTTTTGTAAAAAATTTGTGGGAAAATATTATTTCATTAGTTTAGTTAGAAAGAAAGTGAAAAGAAAATGATTTATATACCAAAATTACCCTCATGAATTCAATACTAAGTAAAATACATCATACAACATGGATAATAAAAAATATAAATAATTGTTTTATGTATAAAAATATATGTGCGTGCATATATATATATAGAATCCTAATTTAAAAAGTCAGAAAATTGTAACTTAATTAGGAGTCCTAATTTTAAAAAGTTAGAAAGTTGTAATATAAGTAGGAGTCCTAATTTATCAAAAAGAGTCACTCCTTTTATGAATCTAAAAAGAAGGAAGAGAAATAACTACAGAGGGTATAATTGGAAACTAACACATAATGATACAACTTTCACGTGAAAATGAAATTTTCGCGTGTTTTATAGAAGAAACATTTTAAGGAAAATCAACCAGTTGCGAGAATATTACTTTCTTGAAAATTTTCCTTTTCACGCTAACCAAACTACCAAATAATTTAAAAAATTTCCGTTTCTTTTCCTTTCTACCTAGTTGACGCTAACCAAACTAACTCTAGATGAATTATTATTGGAATGAGGGTCATCATCATTAGAGTTGTAGTATTCATTGTTTTAGTCTTATTTTTATTTTTCAAATACTTTTTAGCAACAAAGCTATTTTTAGGATTCCGACACCGAGTAGATGCATGGACTTTACCACCACATGTCCAGCATGTAATCTCAGTTTCCTTAAACTCTTCCACGTCGTTTTGTTTTATCTTTCATATCCTTTCCTCTAGATGATACCCTTTTCCATGTTTCAAGATTTAGATTCATTTCCTTTCTTGAAACTATTTGCCTTTTGATTTTTTAGCAATTTTCTTAACTCTCTTGTTAGAAGAGCTAACTCTTCATCAAATTCACAATCATGATCAAATTCAAACTTCATAGATTTTAAGGTCAAATTCATTGATTTATGGGGATTATCATAATATTTCAGTTCAAAAAATATATATTGAACCTACAAGCTCTTCAACCTTTATTATTTCCACACCCCTATTTTCTTCTATATTAATTCTTTCTAGTAAAGATTTCAAAATTTTCTTACAGATTGTCCTATCACTGACTTTCTTTCCTAGGTGAGGAAGACTCAAAATATCTGAAGAAGTTTAAAATAAAGGTGAGAAAATGTTCCATTAGAACTTCTCAAACCTGGCCTAGTGACAAGCATCTAAATTTTACACTTCTTGTAAATGTTTTCATGCGTAAATTGCCAAATTTCTCAAGCATCTTTACCAACTTTATGTACAATAAGATATACTAGCAAACTTAGATGGAATAACGGAATTAAAGTAAAATACACGAGAATAACTCTCTTAAAAGAGATTATGATATTTATACAAGTAATGTTCAAAAGATTATAAAACAAGATTCTATAGAAAAGAAAATGAGGATGAACCTAGATGTAGTAAGAGACCAAAATCATCTAAGCCATATGGTATTGATTTTCTAACTCACTTATTGGAAGACAAGTCTCAAAGTTTTAAGCAAGCTATGTCAACTCTAGAAGCTCCACTCTTGAAGGAGAACATTAATAGTGAGATTGAATCCATCCTACAAAATCACACATGAGAATTGGTGGATCTTTCTCCTATTAATAAATCACTAGGTTAGAAGTGGATTCTAAAAGGAAAGAGGAAGCCTGATTTAATTAATAGAAAGAATAAAGCCAAATTAGTTGTCTGGAATTTTCTATGAATAGATGAGTGTGGTGGAACGGCAAAGAACAATAACAACGAAAAAGATGCTAGATTCAAGGTGCGTGGAGGAATTTTTGATCAAGGTAGAGCTTTGGGGTAGCGTGTGAAGACTGAATTCAAGCCAAGGTTGCGATTGTTGGATATGTGACTCAAATTTACATGGAATGATCATTCTAGAGTATTTGGATCTAACACCCTTGGGAAACTAAACATGAGAATTGTTGAAGGCTAGTAGAAAAGTTAGACCGGTCCAGCTTATTTGGACGACTGAAAATTGCAGAATTGAGAAACTAAAGTTGATGTGCTAGGAGCTGCCTTATTTGTACCTGTCCAACAATTATGGACCGGTCCATCACATCTGATATATGTATGTAAATGAGTTTTCTATTCCAATTTGGAAGTTTTGGAACAACATTGATATGGTAACGCCTTGTAGGCAGTTGGTGAAATTTTTGTCCAACGAGGGATTGATTTGAAGGAAGCGGAATAGGTGAGAGTTTGCCTAGAATAAGAAAGACGGGAAGCAACAGGCTTCTTGGTTCATTAATGTGTACAGGGACCTACGGATAAAGAAAGAAGAAGCATGAACATGGGAAGACTAATTGTTGCTGGGCTTTGGAAAGTTTTGGAGCAACATTGATATGGTAACTCCTTGTAGGAAATTGGTGGAATTCTTGTCCAACGAGGATTGGTTTGAAGACTCTATAAAAAGATATGGGCATGAGAGATTAGGTTAGATAGATAGAAACAAATAATTATAGGGAGAAAAAATGAGTTGAGTTCGTAAGGAGAAAAACATTGTGTAACCAGAGTATTGAAGTAAAATAGTCATTTTTTCGCCCGTATGGACGTAGGTGATTTACCAAACCACGTAAAACTCGTGTTGTTTGTGTGTGTGGTTTTATGTTTTCTATTTGCCAACTCTGTGCGCACAATCCTAACAACTTATTTGTGTCATTAATATTTTTGTTGTTTTTAATGTCATATAAAAGAGAAGATCAAGTTTTTCAATATCTTTATTAGTGGTTGAATGGGCCTAGATTTTTAAAAAAAATTATATTTATATTGTTATAATTATTAGGTTCTTAATTTTATTTTTCTTTTGGTTTTATATATAATGCCAAATGGGACCTTTGTTTAAGGTTCCATTACTAGCATAAATAGGTAAATTGTAAAAGATTTTACATCATCGACCCTATTCCATTTTTCTCAGCAATTTGTAATTTTCAATTAAAATAATATAATTCTCAATTTAGCTTCCATATTTAATCAAATGCATTTGGGTCCCGCGCAAATATGAATGGGTGCGTGGGCTTGCTCAACTATATCTTCTGGTGTATAGAACTGTTCAAAGAAATACGGTCACAAATTGGAAACATAGTCTACAATTTCTCATTTTTGGCTAAAAATATTGTTTGCTCGTTAATCAACACCATAAATCCCTCTTGTTGCCTTCAAAACTAATACGAGGACAATCCTTTTTTTTAGGTCTAAGTAGAGCCCCACAATTCTTGATTCATCTTTTTTATTTTATTTTTTTTTTTTTTTCGTTTCTATTTTATTTGATGCGATGCATATTGTTCTGAGGGATGTGTCTAAATACATTCCAGACTGTATGGTAAGCCTTTCTATATCCTCTTTCATCAGTGGAGCTTATTTGTCAAAATGATGAGCAAAATAATCAGCTAATTTTTCTTGATTTGGTATCTTTATAGAAGAAAAAAAATTTGAAATTTTTGGACTAAATTACGTGATTTGAGTAGGGTTCTTTAAAGCAATTTTATCAAAAAAAAAAAAAATTAAAGCAATGGCGGATAAAAATAACAATGATCATATGATAGAAGATGTGATAATTGAGATTCTCTCGAGGCTGCCAGGGAAATCACTTATGCGATTGAGGTGTGTTTGCAAATATTGGTCCACTCTGATTAGAAACTCTAGTTTCATTTCCAGGCATTTCCACCACCATAGCAACAATGGTCATCTCTTTGTTCAACATTACGATTATAGCACCAAAAAATATACTTTTGCCTTGTTCCCAGATGTAACGCTGGCGAACCCATGGGTTGAATATCACAATCTTGGTGATCTTCAAATGCCCACTGAACCAGGTTTTCTTGGCATCTTACATGGCATTATTGGTCTTTGGGATTGGTATCGCATAGTTCTGTGGAACCCTGCTATTAGAGAATTTAGGGTGGTTCCTATACCAAATCCCAACATTCCACCTTTTTCTTCCATCCAACGACGTCTTTCAGGATTTGGATATGATCCCATCACCAACAACTACAAGGTTGTACGGATTTTGGGATATGGGGAGCATAACTGTGAATTACAACTTCATTGGCTTGTTGAAGTATATAACCTATATGCTAATTCTTGGAGAATTTTTGAGGTTGATTTTCCGGTGACTTGTGAGGAGCATAATTCTTTAACTAACACATATATGAATGGAATTTATTATTGGATGACCACCACTAATGATGACCTTGTATTGATCATTACGTTTGACATGGATAAAGAGATTTTGGGGGATATACCAGGACCTCCACTTCCCAACAACTATTATTATGGGGATATAGTCTTGCACAATAATTCTATCACTTTGATTCATTGGGATATCGAAGATGCAAATGAGAGATTCTATGGCATATGGGTGATGAAAGAGAAGGGATTTTGGACCAAAGAATTAACCATTGGACCTCTTCTAGGTTTTGGAAGAATGGTGATGTATTCCTAGAAACTACTGACACCTCAGAGCTGGTTTTATATGATAGTGATACCCAAGAAATGAAGAAGTTTTTTCAAATTCGTGGAAACGACGGTGGGTTTAGGACTGCTATCTACAAGGAGAGCTTAGTTTCAATTAAGAAAGAAAACGAACATAAAGAAGGGAACAATGCGTTCGACTTGGCTCAAATTCAAGATTTTTGTTCATCTGATTGGTAATTTTGATTCTACGTTTTAGGAGTTGATAGTATAAAGGAGGAAATGACAGTTAGTAAACGGGCCCTTTGTGTTTTGTTTTTTTTTTAGAAATTAAGTCTTGCTTGGTTTGTAACTATGAAAACAATTTTCTATTCTCGAAAAACTAAAAATAGAAAACTGTCCAAAAAATTATGCTTGGTTCAATTTTCTAAAAATTGTTTTTTGAAGTTCTAAAAATGCATATTTTCAAATAACAGACTTTTATAGTTCTCTTAAAACTGTTCTCTATTTTCTGAATTTCTGAGAACTATTTCTATCACTATTTTATCCTCTTCTTGGGTTTCCATACTACTACCAACAATGAGCACTATAGAAAAGAAGTAAAATGTAAATGCAAACTGATAGCTAGTATTCTATCATAATTTATCATTCTCTTAAATTGTGTTTATGCTCTCATCTGTTGAGGAAATGTGACTGTTCCTTTTCAATTTTGAACTAGATTTATTTGTTGTAGAGTAAAAAAACAAAAAATGACCTTTTATGTATTCCTCGATTTATTCATTCTGAATTCTTTGAAGGTCATGAAGAGGTGATTTGAAAACAACAATTCAGAATTCTTTAATTGGAGAGTGTTGTGGTAACACAAAATGGTTTGAGGAGGCACTTTGTGGTGTTGTTTGGTTTTTTTTTTTAGAAATTAAGGGTTTATTTGGTTTGTAACTTTGAGTACAGTTTTTTATGTTTAAAAAGTGAAAACAAAAAATTGTACAAAAACTCTAAAATGTAAATGCAAACTAATAGATAGCATTCTATCATATTTTATCATTCTCTTGAATTGTGTTTGTACTCATTGGTTGAGGAAATGTGATTGTTCCTTTTCGCTTTTGTACTAGATTTATTCGTTGTGGATATTGGAACCGGATCACGAAAATAACAATATATCCAATTAAACAATACATAGGTCCTCACTAATGAGGATCTACACCATCCTCACTATTAATATGAACCAATAATAAATGAACATGTCATCTTTAATTATCAAATTCAATATGGTAGGCTAGATACACACTTACCAAATCAGAGATGGTGATTTTATTACCATCTATGATTTGGTAATTAAAATAGAATATGTTCATTTATTATTGGTCTACATCAGCGGTTAGTATGGTATAAATCATCACTAATAAGGATATAAGTATTGTTCTATAGAGATTATAAAATAAATACAAATATGTGTTAAATTATAATTTTCAAAAATAATAAATTAATTAATTAAACATGTAGCGACTCGAACCCGAGGGTCCGAATCGCTAACTAGTTCTTTACCCAAACCCGAGATCATCTAAGGGCATTACCGTCCTTTCCTAGGTCAATGCATAACCTGTACCGAATTCAAGGCAAACAACATACAACTTTCCATAATCAACATCATCAATAAACTCCTCAAGATAATCCATCATTATCCCAACTAATCCAAAGGTATCAACATCGTTACTACTTATATGATTGACCATTCTCAGAATATATTACATTAAAATACTGTCAAGGTTTATAATTACAATTATAGGCCACAAAATATACAAAGTTGTACATGCTCTGCTAAGGTTATACAAAAATGAAACTTAAGTACAAAAAGGTAACAAGATGATCATCTAAAATCCATCTAAGACTGTGGTGGAACATCATTCGCTACTTTCTTTCCAAGACCTGAAAAATATAATAATATAATAGGGTGAACACAACCGCTCAGTAGGAGGTGTCTAAGACACACCTCTTAATGACCCCGTGAATCCACACAAAGTATAGAATAAAGATATACGGGATCATATCATAGGAAAAAACACGATAACCACAATAATGACAACAACAATGCAGGTCATCCAACTATATGAATACAATGCATACCAATATAATGCAATGACATGTCAATGTCGCGCGTTCCCCATTTCTGAAACATTTTCATTTCACCATTCCAAACCATTAATGCAATTCGACCCATAGCAGCTCTATGGCGCCATGAGAGAAGGATTGCCTAGCTATCCCCGACCACATGGCATCTCCAAAGCATCGTTTCGGGCCTAGGTAGTTAAACCACGCTAGGGTCTCTCCCTAATTCTCTATAGATCACATTAACACTACGGATTACTAGGCAGTTCCTGAGCGCCCGGGTTTTCGCAAACCACTTTTCAAAAAAATTTTCCAAAATAATTTTCATGGCTTTTAAAAATAACTTTTCTCCTTTTTCCTTCCCAATGAAATGCATGAATGCCTCATGCCATATGCAATCATGACATTATACAATTTTCATAATTTGAGATCAATTGCAACAATATAATTTTCCTTTATAGAATTTCTAGAAATAAATTACATCATACTTTCATATAACAAATCCAACACATCCAACATAGTAAATATATTTCTTTTTTTAAAAAAAAAATTGAAATTTCAGTAATTTATACTAATACAATGCAACAATAATTTCCAGTTTAGCATGCTTCATCACATTATTCCAATAAATATATATTTTCAGCCACATAGTCACATAGAGCCCAATTAAACACAAAACCCTCAAAGATATAGGCAAAATAATCAAATTAAGCATGCTTATAATCACATTAAAAAGGAAAATTCACTAAAATCAAAGAATATATGGATTAGAACACCCCTGCCTCAAGAAATGAAGTCCCAAAGTATAACCAAAACTCGAAAATCTAAGAGTGGCCAAGGGGAGATTAGCTCCGATCAAAACGAAACCCTCGCCGAGCTCGTCAACTTTGCCTTCAGTTGCAAAGTTGAAGTCCAAGTAAAATGGTGTGAATCAAGCTTAGAAGTGGTGGAGAAAAAGAAAAAGCCATAGAGAATAATAGAAAATGACGCAAGAAAATGGTAAAGAAAAAAGACTAGCGAAATGACTATAAAGTCATTATAATGATTAAAACAAATGTGGGTCCCAAGGACAAGAAAATATCTCTTTGTCATTATCTTTATATACATATACATTAAACAATTAACAACCACATAATTAAACACATAACTATATAAATTATGCATCAAATAATAATGCATGAAATACAATGGTCCCAAAAAATAATCCATGTGCTCAACAACTTCAGTAGCGAGTCCCACCTGGAATCTCCCAGCCTGAAAAACGAAAAAAAATTAAAATGACAACTATTACATTTTCAAGAGTTTTGAACTCGAGAAAATGCCCAAACTAACACTTGGATCCCATCTGGCACACCCCATGGTGCCCGGCACGTAAAACGAGATGAGGATTAAAATAATCCAAAAAAAATTGAAAAATCCCAGAAATTGAAAAATAAGAAAAATCAAGATCATTACAGAACATAATTTTAAATTTAGGTTTAAAGTTACATAATCGCTTTTTGAATATAGTTGAAGCATTTTCTAAGTGCAATCGAAATATCAAAATGGTAGCACGATTTTCAAGATTCAACTAAGTCAGATTCAACAATTTGTATGTTCAGAGAGTGGCAGACTCGATGAACACATGTATTCATCTCTGTCTAATTATTCGTCCAATAAAATATAATTTAAGAAATTATAGTCTAAACAATTATATCAATATATATGTATATATCGAATGCATATGTTGGAAACTTTACCAACATGGAATTTTAAGAATTTCATAGTTTTGTTACCTAAAAGTTGGTAGAAATTGTCACCCGAATCAGGGGTAGAAGGTTTCTACCTTCACCGAAGCCTCATTGGTACCTCACCAAAATTTGGATTTGATGTCGGAAATCTCACGAGTCTCATTGGTAACATCATCAATTCTTCGCCAGAATCTGGATTCGTCGACCAAAATCTTCATTGGACCTTCATCGGAATCCAGGCCTGGTTGCTTTTGCGGACCCTCTTTTAAGATTCCATTACTAGTATAAGAATTTTACATATTCCATTTTATTGAAAAAAAAAAAAAAAAAAATGAAGAAGAACTCCTATTCCATTATTCTCAGCAATTTGTAATTTGCCATTACACTAATACAGTTCTCATTTGAGGATTCCATTTAATCAAACGCATTTGGGTGCAGCGTGAATATGCATGGGCCATAAAGGCCAGCGTGGGCATGCTGAACCATATGTTTCGGTCAGCAGAACTGTTCAATGAAATACGGTCACAAATTAGAAATATAGTCTCACAATTTCTCATTTTTGGCTAAAAATATTGTTTGCCTGTAAACTCATATGCGCGTAATTCTGAATGAAGCTACAAACCACTGGTTTGTTGACACCATAAATGCCTCACGTTGCCTTCAAAACGAATACGAGGACAATCTTTTAATCTAGATCTGAGTAAAACCCTGCAATTCTCAATTCATCTTTTTTGTACTTTTCTATTTAATTTGAAGCCTCTTGTTCTTAGGGATGTGTCTGTATACATTCCAGATGGTATGGTAAGCCTTTCTATCTCCTCTTTCTATCAGTTATCATTTGTCAAAATGATGAGAAAAAGTTATTTTTAAGCAATGGCGAGCAACAACAACAATGATTATATAACAGAAGATGTGATAATTGAGATTCTCTTAAGGCTGCCGGGGAAATCACTTATGCGATTGAAGTGTGTTTCCAAATATTGGTCCACCCTGATTAGAAGCTCTAGTTTCATTTCCTGGCACGTCCACCATCATAGCAACATTGGTCAGCTCTTTGTTCAACATTACGATCATAGCACCGAAAAATATGCTTTTGCCTTGTTTCCAGATAAAACGCTTGCTAAATCATGGGTTGAATATTACAATCTTGGTGATCTTCAAATGCCCACTGACCCAGGGTTTCTTGGTATCTTACATGGCATAATCGGTCTTTGCGTTTGGAATCACATAGTTCTGTGGAACCCTGCTATTAGGGAATTTAGGTTCGTTCCTATACCAGAACCCGACATTCCAATTTTTACTTCCGTCCAAAGAAATTTTGCAGGATTTGGATTGGATCCCATCACCAACAACTACAAGGTTGTACGGATTTGGGAACATGGGGACCATAACGATGAGCGGCAACTTAATTGGCTTGTTGGAGTATATAACCTTTATGCTGATTCTTGGAGAGCTTTTGCGGTTGATTTTCCCATAACGAGTGAGGAGAGTTATTTATCTAACACATATATGAATGGATTTTATTATTGGATGACGTATTACGGTAACGATATTACGATCTTTACGTTTGACATGCATAAAGAGATTTTTGGAGATATACCGGGTCCTCCAGTTCCCGTCTATTATTGTGGGGATATATTCTTGTACAATAATTCTATCACTTTGATCCATTGGGATTATGGGGATGAGAGATTCTTTGACATATGGGTGATGAAAGAGGAGGGGTTTTGGACGAAACAATTAACTATTGGACCTCTTCTAGATGTTGATAGACCCCTTGGTTTTTGGAAGAATGGTGAGATATTCCTAGGAACTAAAACCTCAGATTTGGTTTTATACAATTGTAATACCCAAGAAATTAAGGTTTTCAAATTCGTGGATACCACTACGGTTGTCCTATGACTTCTATCTACAAGGAGAGCTTAGTTTCAATTAAGAGAGGAAACGAAAATGAAGAAGGGGACAATGTGTTCGATCTGACTCAAATTCAAGATGTCCCATATTTTTGGTAATTTTGGTTCTACTTTTCAAAGAGGAGTTGATAGCATAAAGGAGGAAGTGAGTACTGTTGTTAGTAAAAGGTTGCTCTGTGTTCTTTATTTTTTATAGAAATTATTGTTCCCTCTTTCTATCACTATTTCATCCACTGCATGGGTTTCCATGCTAGCAACAATGAGTAGTAAAGAAGAGCAGTAAATTATAAATGCATGGTTAGTATTTTATCATATTTTATCCTTCTCCTACAGAGAAGTGCAAAAACAAACTCTCTATAAAAACAAACTCTGTTGTATACAAAATGTGTAATTACCCCTTGTTGCCCTTGTTGTTCATACAACTTACATTTTTAAATTTGTGCAAATAAGGACAAAATTTTTGTTTAGTGAAAATTGAATAACAAAATCACTAAAGGACCATTGGCTGTCCATATTCACACTCCACGATTTCTCGATTGCACTCCACTTGTCTATTTCTATTAAGGAAAATGATTCTTGCACCGAATAGTTGCAGTAAATTGCTAGACCTACTCTTTTAATTGATCAATTATGCAGTAAATAAAGAAGTGGAGCCCTCCACTTAATTGTATTTGGTATAAATAGTTAATTAAAAATTATTCGGTTAGACAATTCACTGCAAGTGTTTGGTATGAGTATCATTACTCAAGGAAATGACATGAAGGTTCTAATTACACCCATTAATACATCATCCCTTATTTTATAATGTCAAAATTACCCTTTAAAAAACTTTTCATTTTCTTTTTACCTTTGTTACTATTTTTTTCCCTGTGCTATACTTTTTTCTTTTCTTTTTTTTCAACGTTCTCTCAAAGAAGATAATTTATTCATTAGAGATAATCTTAATTTGGCGGTCAAAAAAATAATTTATTCAATAGTGACTTATTTTTCTCCAATCAAAATAGATAATTTATTCAACAAAGTTAATTTTTTTGAGGTATTTTTTTTCCGTTAAAATAGGTAACATTTTTTTTTGTCATTATTTATGGTTCCGTCAAAAGAGATAATTTATTCAACACAAATAATCATTTTTTTATCTTTTCAAAAGAGGCAATTTATTTAATAGAAATAAATATTATTTTGAATACTTCTTTTTCTTTTGGTCCTGTAAAAAAAAGTATTCAGGTATTTTTTTTTTTTTTTTTCTTGTCAAAAGAGACCTAAAATATTAAAGATTAGAAACAAAGAGAGAAAATTTAAAGGGGCAATTGTGTCATTTAAAAAATAATCATCATTTACTTTTAAAGTTATGGTTAGAATTGCCATTTTTTTAAGATTGGAGTGCAAACATAGTAAAGTGAAGTGCAAATATTACCTAAGTAAAATATATACACCGGAACCTTATGAGGTATAAAAGCTGACATCTGATCCCCACCTACATGGGGATGTTAGCCTTTCTCCCCATATTTTCTAGATAAAAAATATCTACGCCAGAACCTACCACATCATTAAAAATATGGCTATATAAGTAATTTCAAAATCCTACCCCTCCACCTTCTCTATCGTACATAGCCACTTAACTGAAATGAACAGTTGCACTGAGAGCAACCAATTTGCCGCGGCTCACCACCACACCTCCACCACCATTAACCCATTACCCATGCTATAAAATCAAAAACAAAACATCCACTTATCCACTGTCATCCTCATTGGCGACTATGGGGCACCAAGGATTCGGACGACTATGGCATCCATTCAGGGATGGAGCCGGGATGTAAGGTATGGGAGTAATAATGCATTTTTTTTAGTAATTTCAAGGGAGCAAAGGTAATATTTCCTCAGTATATTACTGAAAATGAACAAATTATAAGAATATATTACTAAAAATAAAAAAAGGTAAAATACAATGACACCCTTGCCTGCAGGACTACGAAACAGTTGGGTTTGAATGTAGCTTGCGACACCTGTTTACGTAGCTTGCCGGAACTTTTCTCGCTATAGCTGTTGGCCCTATAAAAGCTGGAGTTCTTTGGTGGTTGTTTAATGTAGCTCATCAATAGTTTGATAATAGTCAAACCTTGGTTTCAGTCATCGCTGGTAGGTTTTTGTGATGAAAAACGATAATGAAGCTTCATGTTTGGTCTTCATGTGAATGACAAGCTTTCATCGGAGTTCATGGAGGATTAAGTTTGGTTGGTTCTTGTTTACTCGGAGCTTCAACTGGTTTTGGTCGCAGTAGTTGAAGCACCATTTTGATTCTATCATTTTGGTCACAACTGGAGCAATATCAAACTATTTATATATATATACATATATACATCTCTCTAAAAAACGTATGGATAGTTCAATCATTTACCATAGCAACTTGAGGGCATTTCAGTAAATTAGACAAGTTAGTTAATCTATTTAATTGTCCGTCACTAGGAGAGAAGTTGTATATAGGAATGTTTCACTATTAGGGAAGGTTCGTGTAATTTCTTAAACCATAAGAGAAGTTTTTGTAATTATGACAAATTATAGGTAATGTCCGTATTATTTACCCTTCTATCAAGAATATTCTGAGTTACTATGGGTGATCTTTCCAAGTACTACAGTTCCATTGCAATGTTCCATATTTGTATCCATTTTGTTTTTTTGTTTTTTTGTTTTTTTTAATGCCGAAGAGAATATCAAATCTTTCAAGATTTTTATTAGTGCTTGGATGGGGCTTAGATTTTTTATTTTTTTATTTTTATAGTTACTTTGTTTTAGTTAAATGCATTATATATAATATATATATATATATATATATATATATATATATATATATATTCGTGGTTACTATATAAAATGCCAAATTGTACCCCTTTTAAGATTCGATTACTAGTATAAATAGGTAAATTGTAAAAGATTTTAGATCATCGATCATATTTCATTCTTCTCAACAATTTGAAATTTCCAATTATTATAATATAGTTGTCAATTTAGCTTCCATTTCATCTAAAGCATTTGGGTCCTGAATGCATGCATGGGCTATAGAACCCTGCTTGGGCATGTTCGACCATAAATATATACTCCCTCTGTCTCATAAAAAGTGTCATATTCCAAACTTAAAACTTTTTATGGGCCAGGAAATATATTTTTTTAGTTGAACCATATCTTTTGGTCACAAATTCGAAACATAGTCTAGCAATTTCTCATTTTTTGCTAAAAATATTGTTTGCTTGTAAAGTCATATGCACATAATCCTGAACGAAGCTACAAACCACTGGTTTATCAACACCATAAATCCCTCATGTTGCCTTCAAAACGAATACGAGGACAATCCTTTTTTTTAGGTTTAAGTAAAGACCTACAATTCTTCCTTCATCTTTTTTTAGTATTGTATTTTACTTGAAACCTCTTGTTCTTAGGGATGTGTTGTATACATTCCAGATCGTATGGTGAGCCTTTCTCTCTCCTCTTTCATCATCTATCATTTGTCAAAATGATTAGCAAAAAAAGGATTTCTAAGCAATGGCGAGTAAAAACAGTAATGATTATATGAAAGAAGATTTGATAATTGAGATTCTCTTGAGGCTGCCGGGAAAATCACTTATGCGATTGAAGTGTGTTTGTAAATATTGGTCCACCCTGATTAAAAGCTCTAGTTTCGTTTCCTGGCACTTCCACCATCATAGCAACATTGGTCAGCTCTTTGTTGAACATTACGATCATAGCACCGAAAAACATGCTTTTGCCTTGTTTACAGATAAAACGCTTGCTAACTCATGGAATGAATATTACAATCTTGGTGATCTTCAAATGCCCACCAACCCGGGTTTCCTTGGTATCTTAAATGGCATAATCGGTCTTTGCGTTTGGAATCACATCATTCTGTGGAACCCCGCAATTAGAGAATTTAGGTTCGTTCCTATTCCAGAGCCCGATCTTCCAATTTTCACTTACCACCAAAGAAATTTTTCAGGATTTGGATTTGATCCCATCACCAACAACTACAAGGTTGTACGGATTTGGGCATATGGGGAGCATATGGATGAGCTGCAAATTGATTGGCTTGCTGCAGTATATAACCTACGTGCTGATTCTTGGAGATTTTTCGAGGTTGATTTGCCCATAACTAGTGAGGAGCGTTATTCTTTAACCAACACATGTATGAATGGATTTTATTATTGGATGACCTATTACAATGACGTTATAACGATCTTTACGTTTGACATGGATAAAGAGATTTTTGGAGATATACCAGGCCCTCCGGTTCCCATCTATTATTGTGGGGATATATTCTTGCACAATAATTCTCTCACTTTGATTCATTCGGATTTTGGGGATGAGACATTCTTTGATATATGGGTGATGAAAGATGAGGGGTTTTGGACGAAAGAATTAACTATTGGACCTTTTCTAGATTTTGATAGAGCCCTTGGTTTTTGGAAGAATGGTGAGATATTCCTACGAACTAAAACCTCAGATTTGGTTTTATACAATTGTAATACCCAAGAAATTAAGGTCTTTCAACTTCGTGGATACTGCTACGGTTTTCCTATGATTTCTATCTACAAGGAGAACTTAGTTTCAATTAAGAGAGCAAACGAACATGAAGAACAGAACAATGTGTTCGATCTGACTCAAATTCAAGAGGTCCCATATTTTTGGTAATTTTGATTCTAGTTTTTGAGGAGTTGATACCATAAAGGAGGAAGTGAGTACTGTTGTTGGTAAACGATTCCTCTGTGTTCCTTTTTTTAAAAAAAACAGAAATTAGTGTTCCCTGTTTCTAGCAACAATGAGTAGTAAAGAAAGAGAAGAAATTGTCAGTGCAAAATGACGGATAGTATTTTTATCATATTTTTCTCGTTCTCCTAGTTATAGGAAGTGCATAAAATCCCCGTCATTTACAAAAATTTGCAATTACTTTATCTTAATCTTCTATATTTTTTAATTTGTGCAAATAAGAATAAATCTTTTATTAAATAATAATTGAACAATGAAATGATTAAGACCCTTATGATATAAAATAGGATAAATATCTCCTAAACTATAACAGAGTTGCACCGACCGTGCCACCGGAACTAAAACATACCCCCGGGGCAACTATGAATCTTAAAATATTAAAAATAAAGCACGTGCCAGTGCGTGCAGACTTGTTTTCGTCCTTTTTTGGTGGTGTCAGGACGGTGAAACTCTGCACTATCGTCTCATATGATCAGAATAGCGGTCTCATATGATCAGAATGGCGATAGGACTTGTAGAGGACCTGTTTCAGATGCTAGGTAGATTGTGTGTTCTTGACAATTTATTGAAACACCACCGACAAATTAAAATAATAATAAATAAGGAATTGATAACTCTGATACCATATTAGAAATAAAGAGAATAATATTATATTGATGTGTAAAATATAAGAATATATAGGGGTTATATAAGAGAAGATATGTGTGGAGATTAAGTAATCCTAAACCCTTTATGGTAAATCTAAACATGGTAATAATATATTCTACAATATATTCTAACAAAAAATTCCATATCATTGGGTTGAACTGAGGCTCAGTGGACCAAAGAACTCCGGGACAGTTGAGTTTGAATATAGCTCGATAGACCTATCCACGTAGCCTGCAGAAACAATTCTCAGCGGAGTTATTGGGCCTCTGTAACTCGCTGGAGTTCTTCGCCGGTCTGTTTGCTGTATCTCGTCAACAGTTTGCTGAAAATCAAACCTTGCATTCAGTCATTGCTGGTTGGTCTTTGTGATGGAGAACGATGATGAAGCTTCCTATCTGGTTTTCATGTGATCGACAAGCTTTCACCGAAGTTCATTGAGGATGAAGTTTGGTTGGTTCTTGTTTGCTAGGAGCTCCAGCTGGTTTTGGTTGCATTAGTTGGAGCACCATTTTGGTTCTATGGTTTTGGTCACACCTGGAGCAGCAGTATCAAACTATATATATATATAAAAGCATATGGGTAGTTAAGTCATTTATCATGACAACTTTAGGACATTTCAGTAAATTAGATAGGTATGTAAATCCATTTAACGGCCCATCACTTGAAAGGAGGTCTATGTAGGAATGTGAGATAAATCTACGACTATTTAGTTTTTATGAGTGATTGAATTGTTTTTTTGTGGTTTTTAGATATAATGCCAAATTGGATCATCTTTAATATTCCACTACTAGTATAAATTGGAAAATTGTAACAGATTTTACATCGTGGATCCTATTATTACATTCTTCTTAGCAATTTGAAATTTTTAATTATAATAATATTTTTTTATTTTTATTTTTAGGAAGAGTATCTCCTCACTCCGGGTCGAGTAAGTCGCAGAATATAACCGCGGAGACGTAGCTCGAAGAAAATTGTTTACACCCAATGAAAATTGAACCACATAACTTATACTTCATGAGGCATCAAGGTCAAGTGACCTTGCCACTAAAAGTCATGCTTGGGCTTGTTCAACTATATATATATTTTTTAGTTGAACCATATCTTTCGGCGTGTAGAACTGATGAAAGAAATATGGTCACAAATTCGAAACATAGTCAACAATTTCTCAATTTTGGCAAAAATTATTGTTTGCGTGTAAAGTCATATGCACATAATTCTGAACGAAGCTACAAACCACTGATTTATCGAGACCATAAATCCCTCACGTTGCCTTCAAAACGAATACAAGGACAATCCTTTTTTTTAGGCCTAAGTAAAGCTCAACAATTCTTGATATATCTTTTTTTACTTTACTTTTCTATTTTATTTCAAGCCTCTTGTTCTCGGGGATGTGTCTATATTCATTCCAGATCGTATGGTAAGTCTTTGTATCTCCTCTTTCATCAATTATCATTTGTCAAAATGATGAGCGAAAAAGGATTTTTAAGCAATGGCGAGTAAAAACAACAATGGTTATATAACAGGAGATGTGATAATTGAGATTCTCTCGAGGCTGTCCGGGAAATCACTTATGCGATTGAAGTGTGTTTGCAAATATTGGTCCACTCTGATTAGAAACTCAAGTTTCATTTCCAGGCACTTCCACCATCATAGCAACACTGGTCAGCTCTTTGTTCAACATTACGATCAAAGCACCGAAAAATATACTTTTGCCTTGTTCCCGAATGGAACGCTTGCCAACTCAAGGGACGATTATTACAATCTTGGTGACCTTCAAATGCCCACCGACCCAGGTTTCCTTGGTATCTTAAATGGCATAATTGGTCTTTGCGTTTGGAATCACATAGTTCTGTGGAACCCTGCTATTAGAGAAATTAGGTTCGTTCCTATACCAGAACCCGACATTCCATTTTTCACTGACCTCCAAAGAAGTTTTTCAGGATTTGGATTGGATCCCACCACCAACAACTACAAGGTTGTGCGGGTTTGGGCATATGGGGAGCATAACGATGAGCTTGACCTTAATTGGCTTGTTGCAGTATATAACCTATATGCTGATTCTTGGAGAACTTTTGAGGTTGATTTGCCCATAACTAGCGAGGAGCGTTATGGTTTATCCAACACATGTATGGATGGATTTTATCATTGGATGACCTATTTCAGTGACCGTATAACGATCTTTACGTTTGACATGGATAAAGAGGTTTTTGGAGATATAGCAGGGCCTCCAATTACCATTTATTATTGTGGAGATATATTCTTGCACAATAATTCTGTCAGTTTGATTCATTTGGAGCATTGGGATGCTGGTGAGAAATTCTTTGACATATGGGTGATGAAAGAGAAGGGATTTTGGTCCAAAGAATTAACGATTGGACCTCTTCTTGATGTTTGGGATAGACCCCTCGGTTTATGGAAAAATGGAGAGGTGATCTTCCTACAAAATAAAACCTCGGATTTGGTTTTATACAATTATAATACCCAAGAAATTAAGGTTTTCGATCAAATTCGTGGATACTACGGTCTTAAGAGTGCTATCTACAAGGAGAACTTAGTTTCAATTAAGAGAGGAAACGAGCATGAAGAAGGTAACAATGCGTTCGATCTCACTCGAATTCAAGATGTCCCATATTGCTGGTAATTTTGATTCTACCTTTTAGGAGTTGATAGTTTTTTTTTTTTTTTTTTTTTTTTTTTTTTTAAGTTTCTCTCACTAACAACAATATGTAAATGCAAGCTGATGGATAGTATTTTATCATATTACCAAATCTCCAAAATGGCCTAAAAACCCTAATCGGATAACCCTCCAATTCGTGAAAGAACCATCTTGATTGCACAAGTTATTAAAGGGAATACCAAGAATGATACATGGATCATGAAACGTTTTCAAAAATCCAATAAGTTGTATTTTAGTTTCTTCTTTTTAACCAATTCTAAAAGAACCAATTTAACAAAAATATCTTGCAATTGCAAATGTGAACTCTAAATAAATTTTTATTTTTATTTTTATTTTTAAAAAAAAAACCGTTGATTGGTTGGTGTTTGAGACTTCGCGTCTGTTGAAATCTATTGCAACTTATATAATCTCAATTTGACATCCAAATTTTCCTTATAGCAGTAGCTCTCTCTTTCTATATCTCTATGTCAAAGGTTTTTTTTACTGTGAAATCCAAGAGTACCCTTTAAGGGTATATCAAATTATTACCTTACCAGGGATGCAGAAATATGAGTCAATATGACCAGTAAAACTATATACAAACGTGCCTTCTTTTGTATCAAGAAAATAATAATTTTCACTTCAATTCTCTCATGCCAACTAAACATTTAATACCAAGATTGTTGTTTAGTCCTACACATTTCTTTGCCTTTTACCGTACAAGATCAAGGATTTAAGCCCCCTAAGCTACAAATTGGTTTTGGTTTGTATCAACATTTTTTTTTTTTTTTTTTTGGTCCTGCTTGTATCACCAAAATAGTCATTTTGTTTATAGGATAAAGGTAGGAAACAAAGAACCATCTTTAGTAAGTGTGAAAGTACGGTAAAAATAAAAATAAAGTACAATCCAAACGAAGTTTCCACTCTTTACTTTATGGGGAAAAGTAGGAACAGATGAACTTGGATTCCAAAAGTCATTTGATCAGATAAATAATGCGTAGGCATGAACCCGATCAGCAACCCTTCATTATTTAAATCCCTCTAAAAATGTAAAAAAAAAATATTTAATACTCCAAAATTACCGTTATGTAATACTTTCGGCCAAATTTTAACAAATTAGCATTGTTTTGGTATTATATCCCAAATTCCCAATAGCCCGATTGAGGGGCGGAGTCAAAAATTAAATTCAAGGGGGCACAATCTAAGTCACACAATTCGTCTAAAGAGGTCTCACTTTCAAATTTCGCACGCAAATTGCACTTCACAAAATTCGCAAATTCAATTTTTGCAATTCGTGAATTTGTTTTCTTAATTCGCGATTTTCATATGTTATATAGTTAAATTTGTTAGAGTCTCAATGATATGGAACACCTATGTTACCATATATGCATTTATTACTTATACTATTACTCAATATATACATTAATTACTTAAATTTTATATGTTTGAAAATATAGTACTAAAAAACTTCTGAGAATATTACAAATAAATCATGTATCTATTAGTGAAAAAAGTTAACTTATTTCTTACATATATCATTAATGGAACGCCCTCGCTCTTGCTCTGTGACTTAGGGCATAGTATAAAATAAATTTAAAAAATCAATAAATATGACAATAAATATAGATTATTCAAATCAAGAGGAAGAAAGAAAATTACTCAAAATAATATATCAATCAAGGAGTGAACTTTGAAAGGAAAAATAAAAATAAAAATAAAAATTGGACTTTGATTTAAAAAGGGAATTTTGAATTTTTTATAGGGAAATTTAACGAATTTAAAGAGTAACAAAGAGAGAAATAAAAATTTTAAGAGATAATTTTAGAAAATAAAAATTTTAGAGGAGACATTATAAAAATTTATTCATATATACATATAAAAATATATAGATTTAGTATATATATTTTAGTAAGCAGGGCATATGTCGTGACACTAAAAGTGTCGTGTTTTAGTGCGTTACGGATGTTGGTTATTTCTTGTTGTACTCTTTAGCTGATTTATTCTTTTTCTAGTTAAAAAGTAGCATTAATGTCATATTTGGTTGAAAAATAATATATAGAAGAGATGGAAGATGAGAATGGAAAAATCCTCCATCCTTCCGTGGCAAGAAAAAGAAGAGAGGAAGAAAGGAGGGGTGAAGCTTCCTTCCTGAAACACCCCCTAAGAAAAGTAGTGCTGGGAATATCATTTTAACCCTTCAATTATTTGTCAAATTACTTCGTATTTTTAGAAAAACAAATATAAAATCTCACTTTTCTTTTTTTTTTTTTTTTCACAACCAAACAAATAAAAATGTGTACACTCATTTTTCCTATTATTCTTTTCTTTAGCTTAGCGTAACTAAAATCTCACTTTTCTTTTTCTGTATTTTTTTTCACAACCAAACAAATAAAAATGTGTACACTCATTTTTCCTATTATTCTTTTCCTTGGCTTAGCGTAACTAGAGTCTAGATCTGAACTAATTTTTAATTTTAAATATTAAACTAGAATAATTAAATTAAATTTGACACCTCAATACGAATTGTTTAAAAAAAAAAAAAAAAAACTCAATGCGAATTACAAAAACACAATCTTGATAATTCCAAAGCCAAACAACAATTAAACAAACTTCTTTCATTTCCCAAAAAAATAAAAATAAAATCCTTGTGGATGAGGATGAATTAACAACATTTATAGAATACTCTTACTAAAAACAGAAACCAATAGCGAAAGGGCAGGGAGAGATCTGGAAATTGCCTAATCAATAGATATAAAATCATATAATCTCTCTATATGTATTACCAATCTTCTCTACCAAGAAATTATCACAAGTCAGTCTTCTCTATTAGTCCAGTCTCTCATCGTCTTCATAAGTTTACTTCCAGGTCTGTCTTTAACCTATACTTGCATATATTGATGTTATGTATATGTATTTGTTTGATTTGTTTGTATTTCGAACTTTTGAATCCTGTATTGTTAAGCGGTGGATGTGAATTAGGGTTTGTACCCGAAAATTTTAAACTAGTTGATCTCTCTTATGAAGTTAATTTGAAATTTAGGTGCTTCATGTGTAAAAATTAGTTCGAGGCTTTACTTTTGCTTGGATTTTTATTAGTCTTTGAGTATTTTATTTATTTATTTATTTTGTCAATTCTTGGGTTGTTTTACACTGTTTGATTTATGGATAGCGATGAAAGTGTGATAATTTTCAGAAGATTTTCTGAATTTTAATTTGAACAGCGTAATTTTGTTATGTGCTCTACATCAGATTGATTTTTTGCCCTTTTCTACAGTTTCAAGTCAGAACAATTGTAATGCTTTTTTTTGCTAAATACTAAAAGTTGTATGGCTAGTTAGTTAATGTTCTACGTTTTGAGGATTGGACTTCATCATTGAGCTTTACTTTTACTTGGATTTTTTTAGTGTGTGTGTGTGTGTGTGTGTGTGTGTGTATATATATGTATTTTAAATTACTCTGTCTGTTTAAGAAGATTTTCTGAATTTATTTATTTACTTCTTTTATTTATTTAATTTTTTATTTTTTAATCTTAAATTTTTGGTCCTGGCAAGAAACAGTTTAAATATAAGTTCTATACATATATTCATTTTCTGTTATTTTCTACCATCTAACAACAGTTTAAGACAAATCAGAACAATTCTAAAGTTTCATGTCTGAAATTTAGTTCATATTTGAGCTTTACTTTTGCTTGGATTTTTATTAGTCTACGAGTAATTTTGTTTTATTTTAATTTAAGCAGTGTAATTTTGCTATGAGCTCTATATAGGATTGATTTTCTGCTCTTTTCTACAATCTACGAACAGGTTAAGACAATGATAGTTTCAATATAAGCCGTTATATGGGTTATTCATTTTTTTATTAACATTTACTGCATCTTTTGCAATTTCTGTTATGAATTTATTAATTATCTATCTTAAGTTATCTTTGTAGAGTTGAACCATGGGTCAAACACTCGGTTGCATTCAAGTGGACCAGTCTACGGTAGCGGTTAAAGAACATTTTGGAAAATTTGATGATGTGCTTCAGCCTGGATGTCACTGCTTACCTTGGTACTTTGGCTACCAGTTAGCTGGTAAACTCTCATTACGTGTGAAACAGCTTGATGTTCGTTGCGAAACAAAAACCAAGGTGTGAGATTCCTTCATTTTCTTGAGTAGTGTTAAGTGTAATTGCAACTTTTATTTCTGGTATCAGGTGTAAGTAATATCTCCTAGTGAAACTGTTTGTGATAAAAAAAAAAAGAAATTAATAAATAAATAAATTTGGAAGAAAAAAGAGAGAAAAAGTCAAGCCACCATTATTTTACGGTTTTGCGTCAATATTGAATTTGAGCAAGACTTTATGATGTCTCTATAATTTGACATCCAAGACTACAATCTTTCAACTTTCTACTTTTCATCAATTATATACTTGAAGAAATGAGAGGCTTACAATTTTTGTTCTTCGTTCCTTGAAATTTTGTTGTTCATTACTTTCCTCTTAAATTTATGACAGGTTCATTCTATAGCAAATGGGTTGTAGAGTATAATTATTGTTCTCTTTTTCAGGATAATGTCTTTGTCACTGTTGTTGCATCCATACAATACCGTGCCCTGGCAGAAAAAGCATCTGATGCTTTTTATAAGCTCACCAACACGAAGGGACAGATCCAAGCCTATGTTTTTGATGGTATTTAATACAGTGTTTAATAATGTTGTCTTGTTGCAATAAAACAGGAGATTTAGGAGATATTTTTGTTAATTTCTTACTTGTATAGAAGGCTGGAGAATTGATTGAAGTTTCATTTTTTTCTTCCCTTCCCAAAACTAGTGCTATCATGCACGGACACACCCCAAAAAAAAATGAAGGAACCACTTGGTTCTTTTGGAAGTTGTTTTCTTGTTTGCCAAAAAGTTAAAAATAAATCCTAGTCTTCTCCTGGATAAGGAGACTCTATAGTGCTTATTTTATTTTAAATTTGTTTACTTTTTCCTAGTCAAAAATACAGAAAATAATCCTGCTGTATCTTCATTGTTTATAAAAAGCCTGATGACTATTGTTCCTATCAGTGACATATTTTTATTGACATAATCATTCCCGGTTTATTTTTGTAAAGTTACTCTATAACTACTGCATTCTTATCTTGCAATCGATTTTACTTAGTTGTAATACTTCTTGCTGGTGTTCAGTTACTTGCCAGGATATGTATTGAGTTATTTATACTTCTCACTTTTCTACTTATTTTGGCCTATTGGCCTAATGCTACTCAAACTAATGTTTGATATTAAATTATAGACTCTGTTGTGGCTCATATGGATTTTCAAAAAAATGAATGATTCTGGTGGTCTTGAACTTAAGGATTATTGTTAGTTAACCTGATTTATAGATACTATTTTTAGGAACTTTTGTTGGCTAGCATGTTTATTAAATTCTAACAAGCTATATCAACTGCCAATCGATTGTAGTTCTTAGGGCCACAATAATTACGAATTTGAGTCCAGATATTTATAATTTTGATAGTCTCCTTTGTAGTTTTCAATTTTTGTGAAAAAAATCTAAAATGTACAGGATAAGGATTATGAATGTTCATTGTCTGATCCTGTTTATGCCCCCTTGATACCTTAATTTGTACAAGTAGTTGTAATAGTAGTAGTAATAGTTGTTGTAATGATGAAGATGAGATTTGCTTAATGTTTTGTGCTTGTACTGGTAGTAGTGATGACGAAGATGAGGAGATGTGCTTAATGTTTTGGTGCTTACAGAACTTGATTAACAGGCGAGATTTAGATCAAACTAATGGGCTTGTCCTTCATCAATCTTGTCAGTTATTAGGGCTAGTGTACCAAAGATGGATCTGGATTCTGCCTTCGAACAGAAGAATGATCTTGCAAAAGCTGTAGAGGAAGAACTTGAAAAGGTAATAAATTATCTTGATGGTGGAAGAACTTGTAAAAGGTAATAAATTATCTTGATGTTGTAATATGGACAATATTAATTCGGTTTCTTGTACCACTTTGTTATCTGTGTAGGCCATGTCCACCTATGGGTTTGAAATAGTCCAGACTCTAATTGTAGATATTGAGCCAGATGTTCATGTTAAGAGGTCAATGAATGAGATTAATGCAGGTACAGATATAAATGCCCGAATAAATTTAATTGCAATGTTTGTCTTTTTCTTTTCAAGACCAAAAGTTGAAATTGACTTCTTGTAATCCATTGATGCGTGTTCATGAGCGATTTTGTGCCATGCTTAAACTGAAACTTGTTCATGTCATGCATAATTATCATTTTTTTTTTTTTTTCTTTTCTCTCTCTCTCCCTCTCTCTCTCTCTAGTAGAATGAGATGGTTCATTATGTAGTAGATCTTTCATTTTGTGGAAGATCATGAGGATTGACTTTTTTATATAAACTCATATCAGTTTGTATTTTGCAGTTGACGTAGTTTTGTTTAACCATTTTAATCATTTATTTATTGTCTCTATTTTAATCATTTATTTGCTGTCACAACAGCCGCTAGACTTAGGGCTGCAGCAAATGATAAGGCTGAAGCAGAGAAAGTGTTGCAGATCAAGCGAGCTGAGGGAGAGGCCCAGTCAAAATACCTGTCAGGCCTCGGTATTGCTCGGCAGCGCCAAGCTATTGTGGATGGGCTGAGGGACAGTGTGCTTGCCTTCTCTGAGAATGTGCCTGGAACAACAGCCAAGGATGTCATGGACATGGTGCTGGTGACTCAATACTTCGACACCATGAAGGAGATTGGGGCATCCTCAAAGACATCGGCAGTTTTTGTTCCACATGGGCCAGGTGCTGTTCGAGATGTTGCCTCGCAAATTCGGGAGGGTCTTCTTCAGGCTGACGGTGTCCAGCACTAGTTTGTGCTTCTTAGATTGTCTTTTGTTCTATGGTTAGTGAACAGCTTTGGCAGCTGAAGTGTGAATAAACAAAGTGATGATGATACTCTTGTTTTAATTTTCTTGGTGAAACGGTAGCAAACTATAGGATTTGTCACTAGTTTAGGCTCTAGGAAATTGCAAATTTATATATATATATATATATATATATATATGTCAAGGGGCAGTAAATAGAATGGCGTTCAATTTGATTTGACATACATCGTGAGATAACTGATATACTACATGATACACGTGGAAGTACTAATCAGTTCCGCGTGTTTCTAGTTACCTAGTTTTGGGTTGGTCTAATTGTCTCCCACTTCTGGGAATTTTTGGATGAGTTCGGATCCAGGTCAGGTTGTCTCTCAACCTGATCTTATTTGTTCTATGCATGGATAGCAGCCTCTTAGCGAGAGCGTTATTAAATGCAATGTTGATGCTGCTTTCTTCCCCTTGCCCCATATTTGTGGTGGCTGTTTTTAAGCACCTTCTTTTGTTTTTGTTGGGGAAAATCCAGGCCTTTCGGATATTCGAACTGTGTTGTTAGCCATTCAGAGCTTTACCTTTGCGAACATCCAGCCGATTTTTCAAATAAACGCCCGTTTTTGGGTACAAGAATAGGCCCCTCCCAGTCACGGGCTCTACCCATGGAAGCACATTGTGCTTTTGTATATAATGCTACTATGAATAAATATATCCTTTTTAGGAATTATCTTAATACATACAATTTATTTTTGTTTAGTATTATAATCTATATTTATCTAATTCTTTAAGATTGACATTTTTAATTTTATGCTTTTATTTTTCTTTGTTTTAAATGGTCTTTAAAAGCTCAATAAAAATTTATTTTTTTTGAATTATGTTGTAAAAAGAAGAGAATCGGTGCATTTTGGACCTTATGTACAAGATCAAAAATAGTTCATGATGGATATAAGATTCCGTAATGTCGATACAAGTTCGATTCCATTACACCACAAATAATTGATAGTGTAACTCCGAATTTATGATTGCTGATAAGATTAGTTTATCTCATAGATACAGTGTTTGAATCAATAGAGAACATTTTCTTCTGTATGAATCGATATTACTTATTACTCTTTGTATAGGAATTCATTTTCTGAAAGATCCTGGCTTTCGTGCTTTGTTGGGTCTCCGAGATCCTTTTGATGTCCTATGTTGTGTTGAAGGGATATCTATATAATCCGATTAATTGCGTAAAACCCATAATAGCAACGGAACTGGAAAAAGTATATAGAAAATACGGTTCTTTTCTATTATACTTTTTCCAAATAATCGATACTGCAACTGCAAATCTTAGTATATTTATGAAGGGTGAGAGAGGGGACAAACTTTGAGTTCAAAATCAGCAGGTTTGGGTTGAGCCTTGTAAAGTTATCTACAGTAGGTTCAGCGAAGCTCATTAACGTCCGAGTCTTGGAGTTGAGATCTTCCACGCTTCCTGATCCAAAATAAGCCAAGAAATTTCCTCGAGGACTTGGTTTGCTACCTTTAAGCAGAAGTCCATTTTCACTGTTGGTGAATAATATAAACACCTGTTTACCGTTAGGGTGGAACCATTGTGCCCATTGCCCAATGTTTATTGGGCTGAATGTTCACAAATTATTCAGATGAAGGGTTGCGTCTGGGGACAGTTCAGGTAGACCCGATCAAACACCATTTGCCTATATATATACCCTTAGGTTTCTTTAGCAAAAACCATACTTCAAAATCTGATTTTTGATTTCTTCTCTCTACATTTTGTAGTCTCCTAATTTCTTGAGTCGAGTTTAATGGATTTGAATTTGGGTCCTAGATAAGGGTGGTTATTCGTGTTCGTGGTCATAATCGTGTCTTGTCTAAGTATATTTTACTAAATAGGTAAACTCAAACCTAACCCATTTAATAATCGTGTCGAGAACCCTCAACGCTAATCCGACCTGTTTATTAAACAGATTAATATGTTAACTCGTTTATCGATCTGTTTATCAAAATAAGAAATTTAATATTCAATCAAATAATAAATACTAAAAAAAAATTGTCACAATTAACCCAAATATTCAATATAAAAAGAAAAATCATAAGGCGTAATCAAGATTTATGTTAAAATAACTTAACTGTCCATAATAATTGGATTAAAATAGGTAACATATTACATATGTTATATTCATGATTATGACATGTTAAGTTAATCAGGTTACACGTGTTAAACTCCCTCAATCCTAATAAGTAAACGGGTTAATCGTGTCAACTCGTTTATGACCCGAACCCGTTTAAGGTCAACTCAAATTCGCTTATCTCATGTCGTGTTCGAATCGTGTTAGCGGACCGTGTCCTAATTTGCCACCCTTAGTCCTAATCTAAAATTGGATCGGTGGGGACTCAAGTGCGATTAGTCGGACCTCTACGTAACTGTATCTGCAAAGAGAATTTGAGATACAACACCAACAAGTCAAAGGTCCGACTAGGGACTAAAGTGGGTAGTGTGGATATAAAAGAAATAAATTCTCTCAAAATTTCTAGTGAATCTTATATTTTTAAATTGTATTTAAACAGCACTATAAGATGCACTTGTGATATATTTGGGTGTACTAAATTAAAGGTTTGAAATTGAAATTGTAGAAAAAATAGTTAAGAAATTAAAATAATAAAAAAAAAATCCAAACGCATTATAAAAAATTACTTATTTGATTGTAAAGTAGTCTTGCATATATATAAAAAAATAAAAAAGTTGACATTGCAGAGTTTTGAAGAGGCTAAAAAGTACGCAATCTTATCTTTGAAAAATTATTTCAGATTTTGAAATAAAACCTTTAAATGATGAGTCTTATGTATCTTCAAGTCAGATCAAATCAAATTCGAGGTCTTTGAGAACTGACACATAAGATCAGATACGGTGATAATTACGTTACTAATATAAATAGGTAATTTGTAACGTATTGTACATAATCAATCCTATTTCATTTTTCTCAGTAATTCGAAATTTCCGATTACAATAATAGAGTTCTCAATTTAACTTCCATTTCATCAAATGCAATTGGATCCCACACGAATGCATGAGCTAAATAGCCCTGGATGGGCTTGTTAAACCATATCTTTTGGTGTATAGCATTGTTCAAAGAAATTAGGTCACAAATTCTAAACATAGTCTAATAATTTCTCATTTTTTTGGCTAAAAATATCATTTGCTTGTAAAAGTCATGCACGTAATCCTGATCCAACCATAAAAGCACTGGTTTATCAACAGTCAACACCATAAATCTCTCACGTTGCCTTAAAACGAATATGTCCTACAATAATTAAAATTTTAACTTTTGTCTTTGATTTGATGCATGTTGTTCTTAGGGATGTGTGTGTCTATACATTCCAGATAGTATGGTAAGCCTCTTTATATCATCTTTCATTTTGTCAAAATGAAAGAGCAAAATAATATGGTAATTCTAAATTTGGTTTCATTATAGCAAAAGAAATTTTTTTTTTTTTTTTTTTAGTTAGTACTTACACACTTATGTCTCCACTAAAGCTTGAACCACCTCCTTTTGAAAAATAGAGACTTGATATCGCTGAGCTATTGGCCCGTTGAAACATTGTGTCCTGAATTAATTAAGTAGTTCACCAAATAAACTCAATGACAAGGTACGTAGACTAGGACCATGCAATAATTTCTCATTTTCAAGAGATAAATAAACATCCCCACATGGTTGATCTTTTCATGTACAATGAGTTCAATGCCATGTCCCTTTTTTTATTTTATTTTTTTTTTTTTTAATTGCTGTATCAGAAAGACTATCAAATTTTCAAGATTTTTATCAGTGGGCTTAGATATTTTAATTTTTACAGTTATTTTATTTAGTTAGTAGGTTCTTTTTTTTTATTTTATTATATTTTTCATGGTATTTAGATATAATGTCAAATTGGACCTCTTTAAGATTTCATTATTAGACTAAGTTGTATCCTAATGGTTGCTATTTCCTGGCCTATTAAACTAAAAGGTAGAGGCTATTTCCTGGCCTATTAAACTAAAAGGTAGAGGGCAAAATTCTCGTACGAGCAGAAGTGGGTGTATAAGGAAAAATAATAATCCATTACTAGTATAAATAGATAAATTGTAAAAATTGTACATCATCAATCCTATTCCATTTTTCTGTGCAATTTAATTTAGCTTCCATTTCATCATGAATGCGGGGTTATAAAGCCCTACATGGGCTTGTTCATGTTAGGCTTTTGGCTATTATCTTGAAATAACATTAAAGAATGAGAAAGATACTTGAAAGGAAAAACAAGGCAATTATATTAATTAAGAAATTCTTATTCTCATTATAATTAACTTCTTTAAATAGACAGTGAATGATAACAAACAATAATTTAAAACTCAAACAGCCTTAATTCTATCAATTATTTTATTTTAATTTCAAATTCTAACCGACAAGATAATACTAATAGTTAAATTTGAATTAACTTCCAACACCCCCTTAATTCAAATTTACAGATTTTAGGGTCTTCAAATTTCTTTCTAGATCTTAACTACCTTTCTCTTTGAATTTTCTGGCTGTATTGTTGTTTCTTCAGCTCTTCCTTCGCTTTGTTCTATTTGAAATTTTGTTTTCTTCCACATGTTTCTTAATTTTTTGTCTTTTGAATTCTCTGTACTTTTTCTGGAGCTGTTTTTGTAGTGGCAACCGCTTCTTCTTTCTTTTCATCTTTTCTAAGCTTAGAAAAATCACAAGGATAAATTTTATTTTTAGATAGTTTTTAATATAATATTAATTTCTTTTTCTTTTTTTGTTGTACAGTGTGCATCTGTATTCTTAAAAAACGACTTAATAGCCTTTCTTAATTAGTTGTTCCCATGTTGGTCAAATTTTGAGCCAAACCTGGGACATATAAAACCTTATCAATGATTTTTTACCAATTAAAGTTGGCTTGATTTTAGGATTGTACCAACACTCTTTTTCTTTATGTCCATATTTTTCATAAATGCAGCATTGAGGAATATTCGGATCCTTATTCTTGTACCAACAATAATGTTCTATATGACCCTTCTTTCCACAATAATAACAAATTAGAATTTGACCATTACATTTAATGTAGTAAAAGACCATCTAGATAAATCTTTTGACTGCTCAAT